TTTGCAAATTTTGGTTCTCTTACTAATGTTTTTAAATTTGGGGTATACAGTTCAGTTGAGCCTCTATTATGGTGTTTTTAAAAAGTTTCCATGCAACTTGCAGAGATTTTACTTTTGGCACTATAACCTTTAATTTTTGTTTAACTAACTTCCTCATTTTTGTGTATTCCCCTTTCTGAAATTAAATGTTATAGTGTTGGGCTACTGTGGTGTTTTCCCACCACAAGAATGTTAAATTTAATCATATTATGGTTACTATTACCAAGCGATCCAGATATATTCACTTCTTGGACCTGATCCTGTGCTCCACTTTGGACTAAATCAAGAATTGCCTCTCCTCTGGTGGGTTCCAGGACTATCTGATCCAAGAAGCAGTCATTTAAGGTGTCAGGAAACTTTTTATCTGCATCCTGTCCTGAGGTGATATGTACACAGTCAATATGGGGATAATTGAAATCCCCAATTATTATTGAGTTTTTTTTATTTTAATAGCCATTCTAATCTCTCCAAGAATTTCACAGTCATTATCACCATCCTGGTCAGGTGGTCGATAATATATCCCTACTGCTATATTCTTATTATTCAACCATGGAATTACTATCCATAGAGATTCTGTGGTACAGTTTGGTTCATTTAAGATTTTTACTTCATTTAATTCTACGCTTTCTTTCACATATAGTGCCAGTCCCCCACCAGCACAACCTGTTCAGTCCTTCCAATATATTTTGTATCCTGGTATTACTGTGTCTCATTGATTATCCTCATTCAGCCAAGTTTCTATGATGCCTATTATTTCAATATCCTCATTTAATATGAGGCAGTCATCTTTGTTGTTGCTTAACACTGGGTGAATGAAAATTTCGTTCCTCTGATCAGCCCCAGTCTGACACCCCAGCCCTGACCAGACAGATATACAACCTGCCAGTAAAAAATACCCAGATTCTCCTCACTCACAATTGCAAAACTCACTCACCTCCCACTCACTGCAAAAGGAGAAAGGTCCTGACCTCCACTTCTCTGAATGGGGAAATCACTGACCCTTCCCATTCCAAACTGCAGAAGCCAACTTACCCTTTTCCTCTTTGAGTTGGGCTGCAAAAGAAAAACAAAAGAAACACTTTTCAATATATGTACTTTATTGCTTTCAAATTAAGGGCCAAGTACTGTTACCAGTGTAGCCAATGGAAAACGACACTGAATTTAATGAAGGAAGGCTCATGTCTTGGAATAAGTGATGCTCATTTTTTTCTGACACCACCACTCTGCCCCCACATGATTTTGTACTTAAATGGAACCTTAGCACAATTTCTTCATGAATTTGTTCTGTGAAAGAGGCAGAGGGTCAGCACATGTTACACGAAGGGGTTACATTTTTCTCATGTATCTGAGTGTAAAGGACCCTAAGTCGGTGCAGACTTACTTTTTTTCTGCTAAAACTTTCATGATATTATCAGGTACGTGACACTATTATTTGCAGGGGTTGGGAGCAATTGGGGAAAGTAGAATCAAAGAGGTGGGTTTTGAATGTAGCTGGGAAACCTGAGAGGTTTGGACCATTCTGGTTTTGAGCAGGATTGAGCTCTGAGTCTGAATCCAGCTTCCATGCAGTTTAATGCTCTGTTTCACAAATATTCCCCTATTGGCTCACAATGTCCAGGCTCTAGTGGAACATTGGTGCCAGTGAGGGTCATTGTCTCAAAAAATAAAGAAAAAGTCATTTCAAAATGAAAAAAATCAAAATGTTCCATTTTAACAAGGTGAAAACAAAACGTTTTTACTTTGCTGAAACACTTTGTTTCTTTCTTGTTCTCCCCCCTCCACCCAATAGTAGACAGACCAAACCCAGATCACGGGGCCTGGTGCAGGACCTGAGGCCTGAACCAGAGACTGTGACCCAAGTCAGGCCGTGTATTGACGTAGATGTTTACAAGTTCACTATCCAGGGTCGGGAAGAACGGGAGGTAAAAAACAGATGTAACGAAACACGTAAATTGTTTGTCCCAATTATTTGTCCCAGTCTATTAATGTCAGGGTACCTCACCTTAACCCTTTGTGTAGCCTGGGGAACAGCAGAAAGTCCCATGGCTCTTTGCCACTGGACACTCATGTGTTAGCGTGCCTGTAATCACAGAGCCAGGGTGCTAAGACTGTGCCTTCAGGGCAATAAACCTGGCTGAATGCCTTTGTCACTGAACCATGCCTGTGATCTTTCTTTATGGTTAACTTTGAGGCATGCAGAATTAGCAGGCTACAATATCTGGGCACACAAAGTTTGGTCTGTGGACTGTAAGATGCAAATATGACACATGATGCTTCTCTACTAATGTGTTCTTGGTCAGAGCTCCCTCCATGTACGTACTTATAAAAGTGTGATTAAGTCACCCCTTCACTTTGGTAAGCTAAATAGATTGAGCTCTGGAGTCTATCAATATAAGGTATGTTTTCTGCTACCTTAATCATTCTTGTGGTTCTTCTCTGACACCCAAAATATCAAGTTTGTTCTTCAACTTGGCACATCAGAACTGGACACAGTTATCTAATTGTGTATTTCACCACATCCTGCTGTCTCTGCTGCTTGCACCCTACATCACAGATTACATCCCATTTCTTACATGCCATCTCATCCACACATGTGTGCAAGGTAACATTTCAAAATCTTCTGACAAAAACCTGCCAGCAGAGAACACATTTCTGAAGACCTGAGAATTAACTGAGCTGAAAGAGGAGCACACAATTAAAAGTTAACATTTCCTGGCAGTGGCAACCTTTTGCAGCTAGCAGAAGAAATAACCAGCTGCACCTTCACATGTGGTCTGTCAGTGGCTACCCCAGTCTGTATTAACTTGTTCCTCCCCACTTTTCAAAGACAGAGCTAAATAGGCTCCATTAGGAGTCTTTTGTTATTTTAAGTGCTCAATAAGAGCTGAAATCACTTGTGGTGGGACAGTGTTTCTGCCCAGCCGGCTAAGAGCTGAAATTCACTAAGAGCTGACAATCACTAAGAGTTGGGTGGACTCTCAAGACACTGACCAGCAGAGGTCACAACAGAGAGGCAGGTGGCAGAAGGCGACCGGCGAGCAGAACAAGCAGCTGGTGAGGTGGCCAGCGGGGGAGGAACAGCAGCTGGTAAGGAGGCCAGTAGGAAGGAACAGCGACAGGTGGGACAGCCAGCCAGAGCAAGTGCTCAGAAAGCAGAGCAAGCAGATGGGAGGTGAACTCTCACAGATGCACCTCTGAACGCTGGGTCCTCACTGACCAAGGACAACCACTGTGAATGGTGTATGGTGAAGAAGCAGAGAGCGGCACAGAAAAGGAACTTTTGGTTGTAGAACTCAAGAACAGGAGGCTGCCAGAGATGAGGGAGGCCAGGAAATTGCTCTGGAAAAAGAGCCTCCTTGTATACAAAGCCCAAGACTCATGAGCACGAGGCCTCATTTCCCATCAGTCTTGGGCTCTGTGGAAATTTCTTTCTACTTTACTCTCCGCTTTGTGGGGGGAGAACTCTCTGGATACCAAGGAAACATCCCTGGGAGAGGCTCCTGGAGCTCCCAGCAGAGTTTTCACATAAAAGGGGATGATCAGTAGAAATTATTCTCCTTGGCAGAAAGAAGGTATTTATCCTAAAGTTATTATAGGAAGTTGTATTATGGAAGCTAGAGCTCACTGCTAAACATTTCCATAATGAAACGTCACTCTGTGTGATTGGCTCTGCAATCAAAGCAACTTCACCCTTGCCTTCCTGCCATTGTTTAGCAAAGGCAGACACTTCCCAATGTATCACCCCTTTTGTCTTTGTTTTTTCTTCAAATTGGCTTAACAAACATCTTTTCTCTGAGATGTCCTGTTCTGAAATTCTCACCCTGACCGAGCAGACACACAACCTTCCAGTGAAAACGTCCATATTGTCTCGAGTCCCAACAGCAAAATTGTACCTTCCTCCCCCTCGCAGCAAAAACTCAAAGGTCCTGATTCCCCCACTCAGTTGAAGGGACCCTGCCTACCACACGTCCTTCTGGGGAAATGTCAGGCCCTTCCACCTTCAAACTGCAGCCATTGGAGAAAACTTACGTTTGTTGTCTCCCGGATGATCTGGGGGGAAAAAAAAACATAAGACCATAAGAATGGCCTTATACGTCAGACCAAAGGTCTATCCAGCCCAGTATCCTGTCTCCTGACAGTGGCCAATGCCAGGTGCACTAGAGGGAGTGAACCTAACAGGTAATGATCAAGTGATCTCTCCCCTGCCACCCATCTCCACCCTCAGACAAACGGAGGCTAGGGACACCATTCCTTACCCATCCTGGCTAATAGCAATTAATGGACTTAACCTCCATGAATTTATCTACTTCTCTTTTAAACCCTGTTATAGTCCTAGCATTCAAAACCTCATCAGGCAAGGAGTTCAACAGGTTGACTGTGCGCTGTGTATTATGTGAACAAGTAAATAACTTTTCCTTATTCACTTTCTCCACACCACACATGATTTTATAGACCTCTATCGTATCCCCCCTTAGTCTCCTCTTTTCCAAGCTGAAAAGTCCTCGCCTCTTTAATGTCTCCTCATATGGGACCCTTTCCAAATCCCTAATCATTTTAGTTGCCCTTCTCTGAACCTTTTCTAATGCCAGTATATCTTTTTTGAGATGAGGAGACCACATCTGTACATTGCTTGCTTGTTTGAAAAGTGTGAATTGGGAGTGCTTTGTTCCAGGTGGGCCTTGAGTGGGCCTGACTTGTATATAAGGGCAGTCAGCAGCGAACCAGCTGAGCGACGAACAGCAGAGGCTAACAGAGGGAGTTTGCCTGGGAGTTCGCTTGGGGAGAGCTCACTGAGACTTTCATCTGCAGGTTCCTCTAAGTAGTTCCTGCAACAGTTGAGGAAGCTCTTAAGAAGACGGTGATATGGAAGGTGAGCGATCAGTTGTTGTAACCTGCACAGGTTGTGCCATGTTTGTCTTTCTGCCACAGGACAGAAGCGACTTTGTCTGTACAAAGTGCAAGCTGGTCTCCATATTGGAAGAGAAGGTTCAAGGGCTGGAGAAACGAGTGTCGACTCTGCGTTGCATAAGGGAAAATGAAGATTTCCTGGAAAGACGTCAGGAGATGTTTCTACGGCCACAATGCTCTGAAGATTCAGAGCAGGCACAGCAGGGACAGAAGGATTGTGAAGAGGTTTGGCAGCATGTGACCTCCAGAAGGAGAAAGAAGAGCATCCATGCACCAGTGGAGATACAGGTGAGCAATCGTTTCCATGTTCTCTCTACAGGTACTAATGCGGAGAGTGGACTAGATGACCCATCTGAGGGGAGGGAGCAGAAGGAGACTCCACGGATTGGAAGGCAAAAGATGCACTGTCCTAGGGATGGGGGTTCCATGACCACCACTCCCAAGAGGAAGAGGAGGGTGGTGGTGGTCGGGGACTCCCTCCTCAGGGGGACTGAGTCATCTATCTGCCGCCCCGACTGGGAAAACTGAGAGGTCTGCTGCTTGCCAGGAGCTAGGATACACGATGTGACGGAGAGACTGCCACGACTCATCAAGCCCTCGGATAGCTACCCCTTCCTGCTTCTCCACGTGGGCACCAATGATACTGCCAAGAATGACCTTGAGCGGATCACTGCAGACTACGTGGTTCTGGGAAGAAGGATAAAGGAGTTTGAGGCGCAAGTGGTGTTCTCGTCCATCCTCCCTGTGCAAGGAAAAGGCCTGGGTAGAGACCGACGAATCGTGGAAGTCCAGGAATGGCTACGCAGGTGGTGTCGGAGAGAAGGCTTTGGATTCTTCGACCATGGGATGGTGTTCCAAGAAGGAGGAGTGCTAGGCAGAGACGGGCTCCACCTAACAAA